TCACTGAAATATGGTGGTGACTTAAGCTAAACTTAAGAGTTCACTTAGCAGCCAGCGTTTGCATGGAGAATATTTAAGAGTTTGACAGTTTCTGATATGCATATGTAATTTGGTCTCTAACATGCTATCTCCAATAGAATTTGTGGCAGGAAACAAGTTATGCTTTATTTCTCAAAGGCTGAATTTGTTGTGCTGATTCTAACAGGAAGGAGTTTTAGCAAGTTTAAGGGTTGTTCTCAGAGAAGAAGGGGGATAAAGAAGGAACAGAAATGAAATTAAGCTTGCAAAGAGATCAAGTTGGATTGTGTATTAGTTCATCTGTGATTCAGGGCTCTTAGTGAAGAGTCATCATCAATATTAACTTTCTCATTCTGCTGTCCTCACTTTGTATGTCAGCTCCACAAAGTAACCCACACCATTTCAGTAATTTTCAGTAATAAAATATTGTTAATTCAGGACTACTGTTTCAAGACTGCTATTCCAATTCCAGTAAAGAGATGACAGTCGTTCTCAGTTTACAGCTGTTTTTGTCCCCTCAGTTTGTCTTTCTTCTTCTTTCCTTCCTTTCTTACTCTGAGAATCATTGTCCTGGCCAGGATCTCAGCTCTTATTAGCCAAGGAACTGCTGAACTCCAGCACCTCTGCATGCTTCAGTCAGAGCTCTTGTTTCTCCCACTTTTCTTTCTGCAGTGAGACTCAGAGATTTCTTGAACTTCACGCAGCCTGACTGCTTTTTTGTGAAACAAGAGGTAGGCCATTATTTGAGGCTGGCAAATGTGACATCCATCTTCAAAAAGGGCCAGAAAGATGATCTTGGTAGCTACAGACCTATCAGTCTCACCTTGGTGCCAGGGAAGTTTATGGAACAGATAATCTTGGGAGCCATCATGGATCGGTTAAAGATCAACCAGGGGATCAGGCCCAGTCAGCGTGGGTTTACGAATGGAAGATCCTGTTTGACAAACCTGATTTCATTCTATGACAAGGTGACCCGCATAGGGGTCAATGTGGTCTACCTGGACTTCAGTAAAGCCTTTGACACAGTTCCCCACAACATCCTCATGGAGAAGTTGGCTGCCCATGGTTTGGATGGGTGTATGCTCCACTGGGTGAAACACTGGCTGGATGGCTGGGCCTGAAGAGTTGTGGTCAATGGAATTAAATCCAGTTGGCAGCCAGTCACGAGCAGTGTCCCCGGGGCCCAGTACTGGGGCTGCTTCTATTTAACATCTTTATTAATGATATTGATGAGCGGATTGAGTGCACCCACAGTAAGTCTGCAGATGACACCAAGGTGGGAGGGAGCGTTGTGCTGCCTGAGGGGAAAAGGGCACCACAGAGGGACCTGGATAGACTGGATCAGTGGGCCAAGGTTAACTGTATGCGTTTCAATAAGGCCATGTGTGAGGTCCTGCATTTTGGTCACAACAACCCCAGGCAATCCTTCCCCAGGCTTGGGGAAGAGTGACTGGAAAGCTGCCTGATGGAAAGGGACCTTGGTGTACTGATGGACAGTCAGCTGAATATGAGCCAGCAGTGTGCCCAGGTGGCCAAGAAGGCCAATGGCATCCTGGCTTGTATCAGGAATGGTGTGATGAGCAGGACTAGGGAAGTCATCCTGCCCCTGTACACGGCATTAGTGAGGCCTCACCTCAAGTACTGTGTTCAGCTTTGGGCACCTCAGTACAGAAATGACATGGAGGTGCTGGAGCAGGTCCAAAGAAGAGCATCAAGGCTTGTGAAGGGCTTGGAGAATATGCCTTATGAGGAGAGACTGAGGGAACTGGGGCTGGGGAAAAGGAGGCTGAGGACAGACCTTATTGCTCTCTTCCAATATCCTAAAGGTGCTTACAGGGAGAACGGGGTTGGTCTTTTCTCACTGGTGACAGGACGAGGGGAAATGGCCTTATGTTGCACCAGGGTAAGTTTAGGTTGGATATCAGGAAACATTTCTTTACAGAAAGAATTTTAAGCACTGGAATAGGCTCCCCATGGAGGTGGTTGAATCAACTTCCCTGGATGTGTTTAAAAACCATTTGGATGTGGTGCTCAGGGACATGATTTAGCGGAGGCTTGTTAGTTAGGGAAGTATGGTTAGGTTGTGGTTGGACTTGATGATCTTTAAGGTCTTTTCCAACCTGAGTGATTCTATGATTCTACGATTATGATGCGTATTTAAGGATAGCCCTTCATTTTAGAGCTGAAGTAATGTCTCAAATACCTAAAGTCTCTGTTCTGGTCACAGAGATTAGTTTGAAATGTAGACATACTGTAGTGCTCATTTCACAGACTGACAGGGAGACCTAAGTTGTTTTCCTGTAGATGGTCCAGAAGCCTTCTCTCTCTTTTCTCTAGCTATGAAACAACCAACAGCAAAAAAGGCAATTTTCAGGATTACTCCAGCCTTCCTGGTGACAACAACCTATACAGTATCTGGCTGTCTGTCAGCATTAACTCCAAATTCCATATATAAGCTGTTAGAGACAGAGGGGCTGGTGCACCTTTCCTGAACAGAACGTTGTCTTCCTGGAATACCTGTTAACAATCCCAGCTCAGTGTGTGCACCCTGTGATAACCTCCTGTGAAAGCAGAGATCCCTTTAGGGTCCCATGATGAAAATGTTTGTGTGCATCCCTGAAATGTAAAATAACAATTCAGGTTGGAAGGAATCTCCGGGGATCATCTACTCCAACCTTCTCCTCAAAGCCTGTAAGAAACTTGAAAATACTTTCATTGAAGAGGTACATTGTCTAGATATTTCTTCTTAAAACAATCTTGCTTTTTTCTTTTCTTTCTTTTTTTTTTTTTTTTAGGGTGTTTATCAAAAGAAACAAATGGCAGGATTTTTCTCTTGCATCAGTTTTCCAGTTTATTGGTATCTACATGGCTCAATGTTTCAGGAAGTTTTTCCCTCTTTGCTTTATTTGTGTGTTGCGTATGAAGTGAATGTTGATAAATGAAGGTGATAGAGTTTTCAAGGTGGTTCAAAAGATTTAACTTTGCCTCTCAGTAGAGTGGATAGACTCCAGGAATCACACGAGAAAGTTACTATAAGGACTTTTTTTTTCTGGAAAGCAAGCATGGAATTTTTAACTGTTTTTTTTTTTTTCTCCCCATGTGATCTTTGATGATAAGATGGAATTAGTTATCCATCTTGATTGTGTTTATGACTGTTCAAAGTGAAGCAGTGAGTTAAATGAATTGTTCTGAAGACCTAGAACAACTTTAAAATGTTGTTGTGGTAACTCTTAAGTTGTTAGGATCTCATAGTTAGAAGGAGTCCATTTTGTGAGTGACACACTAGAGGGCTTTTTGGAGTCAACAGCATAATTCTTTTTTCTCTTCCCTTGAACAGAATGAATAGGTACAACTTGGATGTAACCAACCAGAAAAACATTGATCCAAGCTGAAGTTTTTTTAAAAGTCTGTTTGAAGAACAGAGCTGTACCTCACTTACATATTTTAGTCTATCTTAAATTCCTTTGCTTCCAAAGGAACTGTGACTCTTGAGGATATTTACTGATTTTATTGACCCCACGTTGACTGAAAAAACTGTCTGATTTCAGTGAGAGATATATTTATAGTGAAAGCTGTGTCTACCTACTTCAAAGGCAACTACCATTTCAGAACTGGGGTAAGGAGTCTGGTGCTCTCAAGTAGATATTTTTGAGGAAAAAGGAAATTATTTACCCATGCTATGGTTTAGTAAATGCTGCACAATTGTAATATAAATATTAAATATCCCAACTAGCTTTTCATGTATTTGGAATTGTAGTTTGCAGCGCAGGTTTATGACAATTGCTTTTTATATTCAGTAAGCATTTCCTTTTGGCAAAGGATTTACTTATTTATTTACTCTTTTTGTTCCAGGTTTCAGTGGTATAGTATAACAAATGTCCCATTCCTTCCCTTCCTTCCCTTCCTCTCTTACTCAACTGAGTGAAAGGAACAGTATTTGCAATGATTAGTAAGCTGAAGTCAGCTGCCACATGTAACCACAGATAGCATGGAACAGTTGGAAAAATAGGTCAAGTACAATTCCTTAAGACTTTTACCCCTACCTCATTAATAATTTCTTCAATTCCACATGCACAAGGCAAGGTTGGGGTGACAGAGCTCTCAGTAGGCTACACTCTACCAAGCAATAAAGTAACCCAGCTCACTGCTGTAAGTGATAGAATTTAGGTCTGATTTTCTTTTCAGTAAAACATAGCCTCTTTCCTTAGCACACTTGTGCCACAGAGGGGAGAATTAGTCCTTCAGGAATGGGAATATAAGTCCAGTGGGCCTAACATCTCTGGCTGCTCCAGGAGTTGAACACTTAACTAATGTTTAACACATGACGTATTGCCTTACCTGAAGTCTGCGTTTCCATAAATTGCCACAAAGCAGAGGATAAAAGATGGAAGTGTGATGAGTGATCAGCCTGGGCTGTCGTGCTGCTTTCTGAAGGAGTAATATTATTCATTATATACTCATTATATACATCTTGCATTTTTCTTTAATTATTCTAAAGCTGCAGATTACAGGGATTCTACTTGGTAACTACATTTGCTATTTGTTAGCAAGTCTGTGCAGTAGTGTAACTTAGTTGTTCACATGTTTTTCTTGGGCCTGATCCAAAAATGGCTGAAACTTTCAATTTATTTTGAATGGATCTTGGATCAGGCGCTGTAGTGAGTTGCTAGTGTTCTGTGAAATGTTTGCTTTCCTTTGGATTTTAATCATTCTTTGTAGAATATTTGGTTATGGGTTGATAACATGTAGCTGGGTGAGTAGGGATGAGATAGACATTTATCTATGTGATTTAAGCACTTGAAGTGAGCCATTAATATCTCAGTCATAGATGCTATGTTCATGTATTAGATCCACATTTCTTTCTCTGATTTCTCAGAATCATAGTTAAAGCTGTTGTCTATTACCATGTTAAAAAGGAGGATCTGTAAATTTTATTTGCTATATTGATTTACGTCTTTGTTTCTTTTTTCTTTTTCAAAAAGTACTGAAACAGGTACAACCAGTGGATAAGCAATGTGCACTGCTCTGAGCCCAAAAGCACGTGGGCCTGGCCTCTCTGATATGCACCAATACAGTCAGTGGCTTGCCAGCAGACACGAGGCCAACTTGTTGCCGATGAAAGAGGATTTGGCCCTGTGGCTCACAAACTTACTGGGTAAGATATGAGAAATACAATCACTGGACAGCATGAGAATTCCACTCACTGTCAGTTGAGAATGAAAATCTTCAAACTTTGTTGTGCTTCAAAAATAAAGATAGTTAGGATTAGCTAGCTAATTCCACCTAGAACAACTTTTAACAAGTCAGAAATATGAACAGTTAGGCTACAGAGTGATTCTGTAAGTTCACTTTTATTACTTGTGTTCTCCTCAAATTTGTTTTTCCTCAAAATTTCTTTTAAATTGACTTTCACATGGGTTTTATGTGCTAATATAATTAAGCTGAATGTTGCTACTTACTGCCACCAGATACATCTTACTTTTTATGGGGAGACCTTCCACAGACACTGAGTGCATTGAATACCTTGAATCAATGAACCCATTAAATAGTTTTTCACTGACCAAGCAGTCTAGTTGTGGATAATTGCTGTTCAATGCAATGCATGTGAAGACCTGCAGAAGTTTGTGTGTAGAAGGGTCTGACCCAGGAGTTGCAGCTGGGACCTGGAGATTTTCTGGTTGTGGTTGTACCTCCTGATGCATGAAGCAGAAACAAATTGCTGATGGCAATTCACATAAATCATGTATTTCTTGGTAGATGTAAATTTTGTAAAATCCTCATCTGGAGAGAAATGCATCAGCAGTTGCTCTTTTTAATCAAAGATGAGAAACACCTTTTAGACAAGTTGACATTCACATGATACTTCTGGAGGCAAACATGGAAGAGCATTTATAAAACTGGGATTTTTTTTCTTCTGGAAATCTGCTTTGGTAGTGTTTTATGTTGCCTGTTGTTGCAATTGAACATAATCAGTGACATACAATGATATCATGCCTTTTCTTTGCATGTTCTACAATACTGTAGTTTTTGGTTTTTTTTTAAGATAAAGGAAAATACTGTTAAGCTATGATAAACATAGAAAAATGCACTTATACCACAATATTTTCAGATAGGTAATATTATTATTGGAATAGTTCTGAATTTAAAGTTTTAAAACTGGCACCTTAAATTATATTGTTGTGTGGTACTTCCATTTAAATTAACAAATTCAAAATATTGTTCAATGAAGCCAGATGAAAATGCAGAATCCTGCCTTTTTGCTGTGATTGCCACAAGATGGCAATCCAAAAGGTGGCTTTTTGAATCAGAGGCAGCCCATTCTGTTAAGGATTTAATATATTGTTTAAATTTTTTAAACAATGAAGTTGTAGTGAGGCCCACTAAAACAAACAGAAGCTTGTTTGCAGTTCCTAACAGAGTTCTTCCAGTGATGGGTTTAGGAATGAGGTCACTTTTTTAGTAAGTAGCAACCAGCAGGAGGTTTTGAAATGCCAACTGTAATTAAAAATCTGATTTTTCATATGGACACCAAACTCTTCACTACATAAGTAAATGGGCACAGCCTTCTTTTAATTAAGCAACATGCACAGCTCATTTGCATAATGCATTCCCCAGCACCTTCTCACATGCAAGTTGTTATTTTCTCAGCTTGTTGTGGAGAACTGAAATTATAGTGATTTGTTAAAGTGCTTTGAATTCCTATGTAGACGCTGTAATTCAAGTGAATTAAGTTAAAATTCAGTCAAAATAAATTAAGTGTGACTGAATTAATGTATTAACATATTCTATATATTCCCTCAGAATTTAAATTTGATTTAATTACTTTATAATTGGGGTTAACTTTCATGAGAGGAGGGACACATAAGCATATTGCTGTGGGATAAAATTTGTATGAATTTATAGCATGCTGTTACCTTGTTGTAAATACCTGCTTATAGTCTTATTTCACAGTATCCAAATAGGATATGCAACCTGCAACTGTTTGGATGTGGTGCTCAGGGACACAATTTAGCGGAGGATTGTTAGAGTTAGGGTAGCATGGTTAGGTTGCAGTTGGACTTGATGATCTTTCAGGTTTTTTTCAACCTGAGCAATTCTATAATTCTATGATTCTTTGCTTTTTTTTTCTCTCTTTTATTCTTTTCTTTTTTTTTTTTTTTTTTTTTTTTCTCCTCTCCATGGAGAAAACAACTTACTTTGCATTAAGGAACGCTGCAGATGAAATAAATATTGCAGATGGAAGTGACCCATATGATGCTGTAGAGCATCATTTTCATAGTGAGGCATCTCAGTATTGCAGCAGGCGAGAGGAGTGGAACAGTGAATATTGCAACTCTCAGCCTCACTTCTCTATGCTGAACTATGTTGGTTGAGAGAACCTTACTGTGACATAGTTAAGAAGATGTTTTGATCAATTGTCTTGCAAATCATGATCATCTCCTAAATCATCTTTTTATAGTGTATAGAACCAATGAAGCCCTCAGCAGCACTTGCTGCCAATGCCTACTGAATTGGATAGATAATATATGTATTTAGTTCAGTAGAATCCTCTTGCAGGTACTGTAACCTTCTGTTCCATCTTGAGTAAATTTCATATAGTGATCAGAACTATTTGGCCAAAGTAATCTTCTAGCAGAATGGCAGTTTGACAGCAAATGGGATTTGCCCTCTTCTGTGCCTTCTGATACATTTTATCTTTTTTCTTGTTCCTAGAGCCCACTTACCAGATTCAAATGATTACAATACCAAAGCTTATTCCATCCAGTTTTGTTTAGCATCTGGGACCACATAGAGTAGATCTGTTAGATGTTCCTTGACTGTGGCAAGATAACTGGGCTCCGTGATATAAATGCTGTGGTCTCTTCCTAGCAGAAATTCAGGGCATCAGGAAGAAACTCACTGGTAAGGGGCTGGAGGCTGCAAAATGTTGAGGATGAGGACAAGTAAAAGTTGCATGTTGCATGAGGCACATGCAAATTGCTTGTTCAGATTCAAAAGTGGAGTAGACTTGGAGAAAAGGAGAGAATTAATAAGGATGGTAGGAGACATTCAGTTGCAGGCTAGGTTTGGAATATGATGATGTTAAGAGGTGTAAAACTTGCAGGATGAAAGGTAGGAAGTCTGAGGAAGGAAAACTGTGTTTCTTAGATTCTGCTTTAAAGCAAAACCTGCTTCATCTTGGGCATCTTGCTAAGAAGATTTTGTAACCATACTTTTATTTTTAACAGCATTGTGTTCATCTAAAGCCAGTGGATAATACAGGTAAATGAGAAATATCTATGAGTATCAAGACATTTATGATAACTATACCTCTAGTGTTTCTAGATCAGCTTCTTTTTCAGCTGAGAGGCTTGATAATTTTCTTTAGTATCAATATGTCTTTGAGACTGTTTATACATTTCATTTAAAGTGAACAGTAACGTCAGTTCGATCAATGTTACTCCTCTTGATCTCTGCTGTTCAATGATACACAGCAGCCTTTCTGTCCAAAAAGATCCACTTTTTCAAATTTACATAAAATTGTTGGCTTTTATCTCTCCTACTTGTATATATGTTTTGTTAACTTGGGTTTAAATGCCACAGGAGCTGGCAGTCAAAAGGAATATTTCCATTGCTGGCTCAGTACTGGCTCAGTACATCAGTAGATGCTCATCCTTCCACTGATGTATTCCAAAGATTCATCTGAGTTAAAGATTTCTGCATATAAACTATTAGTTTGGTGTTACCATTGAAACACTTAATCTTTGGGTTTCAAATGAAAGGAGGGGAAATACTTTAAAACTACTTTAAAAAAAAAAAAAAAGTCTTACAATAAGTGTGGTGAAGCACTGGAACAAGTTGCCCAGAGAGGTGTGTTGGAAGCCCCATCCCTGGTGACATGCAAGGTCAGGCTGGACCAAGTTCTGAGCACCTGATTGAGTTGTGGATGTCCCTGTTCATCTAAGAAGAGTTGGAGAGGTGATCTAGATGACCTTTAAAGCTTCCTTCCAACTCAAATGATTCTACACTTCTATAAAATAGTTCATCAGCTAGTTTTGAGGCTGTTCTTGCTTTATAGTTACTGAAGTGAATGCAAAAGAACAAGTTGATATACCAGAGGAACCAACTAGACCTGGATATTTTTCTTTTAAGATTTGAGCCCCTCTCCATTTTACTAAAGGTTCTGGTTGTCTGGAGGCCCATGTCCTCAACCACATGGATGCACACCCTAGGTATGGGCTCTTGAGTTTCCCTCTCACAGAATTCCCAATCTGCTTACATCAGGATCCCCAGGTCTGGGTGGCTTTATAGTTAGCTGCCCATGCTTCCCAAATACTAGGCATTAAAGTAAAAGGGTTTACCTTCTTTAAGGGGCATCTGGCCTCTACAGCATAAGAAGGGGTAAGTAATATTTGCAAGTTTTGAGAGGGCCTTCACACTCCTCTTGTTTTTTTCTTATAGTGTTTTTTTTTTTTTATTGTATTTAATGTTATTACCATTCTATAAAAACATTGTGACTGCTTTCTTGTAATTTTAGGGGGAGTTATCCATTTTTAATGGAGTTTAATGTTTTTTCCTTACAAATATACAGAGCCTTTTTTTTTTCCTCAGGCTATGAACATTGCTCTCATTTGAATCAATGCATTTCAACTGTTAAATATGTCAGTGTCTGTTTTAGCAAAGAAATGCCACCTCTTGGAGACATAAAATACAGTGAATTGAAAGCTGACACCTAATATATTTTTCATTGGATACAGATGTTCAGTGCAAAACTAATTCTTTCAGCTTTTGTAGAAGGGAACAAAACTACAATAGTCCAGCTTAGCATACAATAGGCAGTGACCAAACTGCTAATGCTATTCAGCATTAAAAATAGTGTAAATGTATTGTTCAATCTCAGCAGAAGATAGAAGATTTTTTTTCCATGTCTATTAAAATGAGAAGATTTTAAAGAAGTTTTAAATAGCTTTCAGGTGTTTTTTTTTTTTTTAATCTTGACTGGTAGAGTAATAAACCTATACATCTACAAATCATAGGAGAGAATAGATGTGTATGACATGAGTTTTATTTGTGCAAAAATAAAAGTGCATTCTAAAACAAAATAAAACCTTCCATAGTTAAAAAATGTTTGAAACATAGTTTTATAGAAAATGAGTCTATTAAAAAAACCTTATTAATAAAAAATAAAGCTATCCTTATGACTCACTAGTTTTTCAGTTTTAGATTTCTAACCTCTTGCTAGAAATGCAAATTGGGGAAAAAATATGCCAAAATGATACTGAAGGTTTTTGAGATGCTGAGATTTTTTTTTTTTTTATCTCTGAGTTATCAGTTTCAGATTTGACTACAGATGAATTGGAGGCAGTTGAATTTGGAGCTAAAATAATGTTGGTTACATATTATCTACCTTTGTGTTGAACGTCTGTAGAGCTGCTACTGCTCTTCTGCCTGCAGAAGTAATTTAGGTATACAGGAACCATAAAGTGGGTTGTGTGGCAGAGACAATTAAAGGGAGAAGGATAGAAAGAAAAAGTTGTATCTGAAAATGATTCGTTGCACAGGTCTTAATCTTTGACGTGTAACTGTCTAAACTGGAACGACTGGCAATTTATTTTGCCTAAAGAATGCTGAAGTATCTAACAATTTTGAGACAAAAGACAACGCAAATTTTCATTATGATGGCGTGATTCTGGGAGTTCAATTTGAGGTGGCAAAAGATTCCCTTCTCATCTGGCCTGTCTCACCTAGTTTGAATACCATGGGACCATTGGGATTTTGGTGATACTATAGGCCACCTGCTCTGCTCCAACTGGGGTGGAGCAAAGAAATATGACGTGAAATATTTTGTTCTTCAGTCCCTTCTTGCAGAATCAAGACTTTGTCTCATCGTTGAACACTTCCCTTTCCTTCACTGTATGGTTTGCTACTTCTAGAAAATAAACTGCATTAAATATGATAGTAATATTTATGCTATCACTACCCACATATGCCAGTGTAAACCACCTGCCTACTGCACTCTGTGTTTGCTAAAAGCACTGGAATTTCATAAATAAAATGACATACGAGTTCTTATAGGCTAGAATTATTTTTCAACTAACACAAGCCTTCCCAAAGAAAGCATGTTATTTTAAAACTTTCCCTATGTATACTGGAGACGTAGCAGTGAGATTGCTAGTTGTTCAACTAAAGTATGTTTTAAATTGTTGTCCAAATTTCTTTTGATTTCAATGCATTTAGAATGGGCCCGTTTGTTTGTTAATTTAGTGTTTGGTTTGTTTTTTTTTTTTCTTAAAACAAGTGCCATCTATACCATTGCACACTGTTTGCCATGCTAACTTTCTGCTTGCTGTTCAGGTAGAGAAATAACAGCAGAAACCTTTATGGAGAAATTGGATAATGGTGCCTTGCTTTGTCGGTTAGCTGAGACCCTGCAGGAGAAATTAAAAGAAAACAGCTTTGAGGCAAACAAGCCTGGCAAAGTAAGTGTTGTTAACTATTCTAGCATGTAATATTTTGCAATTAAAAGTTTTCATTTATGGTGCCTCTTTTAATGGACAGGGAGGTAATTCTTCCATGCGGATAATGTAAAACTGGGAGAAATTAATGCTTCTTCAATAATTATCAAGTAATAATACAAGGAAGATTCTCAGAAACAACTTGTAACCTGTGAAAGATAAGATATCAAACAAGATCTAGCAGTGTGATATGGTAGCTAATAGAGAAAATACAATCCTTGTATGTATTTGCAAGGGGGAATATTAAGGAGCAGAGGGAGATGCCATTTCCTCCTTAAACAGCTCCAAGAGGGCCAATAACACAATTCTGCAGTTAGTTTTTGTGTCTAGAGTTTAAAGACCCTGTGGTGTACTGGAAGGGATTCAGAGCTGCAGAGATATTGTGGAAAATATAAACCTTTAGAAGATACTGAAGAGCTTTGCAAAGATTGGGTTAAGCTCTCGCTTGATCTCAGCCATAGGCCGGTCTTACTGGGAGAAGTTGGAGTGCAGCAAGTGTCTCTTTGGGAGAAGTTAGCTGAAATTATTGACATTTACATCAATTCAGTTGCTCTGAATCTGTTTTTATCTCTCTGCTGATCTGGTTGAATTCAGATACATCTTCCTTTTCAAGGAAGGTTAAAAAAAAAAAAAAGGTTAATACAGAAGAGGAAAAAAAAAAGCCTAAGAGCAGGAAACAAAAAAATGCACCGTCTGTTCTTGATGTTCTCAGAATGTGTCTATAGGAGAAATCAGGGCACAGCATAAATTTTATCAGCAGTTCTGAGAACTGACAATGTTGTCAAGAGCAGCTTCTTTAAGTTGTTTGTCTCATAATGGTTGTTGCAGAAGGAATTGTTTGTTCTTAGGCAGGCTTCATTTTTAACTTTCTGCAGGTTTTTGTGTTTGTAGAGGGAGAGAACTTTTTTTTTTTCTGTCTTTTTGTATTCTGCTTGCTTTATTTCCTGCCAGGAAGAGAAAGTAGGGAATAGATAGCTGGGAGGAAAAAAGACAAGAAGTAAATCAAAGAGAGAGGCAATGTTACTTCCGTAATGGAGGAAAAGACAGATGGAACTCATATTCTGTATTTGAACTGGCAATTCAAATTTAGCTAGTAGAAGTACTGGATGACTTCTGAATTCCTCCCTGTAACGTGGTCCAGACTGTCTTCACCTAAGAGGTGGCCTTATAGTGTCTTGGTAACTTCCAAGATGGGGGAAAAAAATGTGTTATTTTTGGTTGAGTTTAGGAACTTGCTAGTCAGAAAGAGATATCGCTTGTTAGTGATTATTTGTACTTTTTTGTAAAAAGATACTGTTATTAATAAAAGCTACTAAAAGCTTCAGTGATTACCCATAAGATGAATTTGGTTTCAGAGTTGTAAAATATTTTTCTGTTTTGCCTCTTACCCAGCTGGCATGCTAGAAAGGCCATTCAATTGTAAAGATCAATACTTTTTTTCGTTTCTCTAAGATAGACATCTTGAAAAGCCGTGTCCACTGAGTATAAAGTTATCAGGAAAATAATAGATGTAAATTGATCAACAGCCAGAGAACTCTAGAGAATATTCAGAAATTCAAATAACACACTTTGTTTGTTTGTCTTGTTATTTTGTCTTGCATCATCAGGCTTTTGTTTGACAATGGATCATTCTGAGTGATCTGGCAAGATAACCTGGGAATGTGTCAGTGTTTGATATTTCTTTCTTCTACATCTGGGAAGAACTAGAGCTCTGTTCTTACATTAACTTCCTCATCTGACAATATAGCCTTTCTTACTTCAGATAGCTGAGCCCCTTTTTTTTTGAACTGAAGTTGCATTAGGAGCCAATTAAACTTTTGTAATCCTATATATTGGAATAACTAAAATTCTTTGGCCTTTTTTTTGTTTGTCAAGCTGTTATAACAGGCAATGCAATTAGATGGAAAAACATTCTACTCCACTGCAGTTTTACCAAAATATATTATTTCATACTTATTAAAAATTCAAAGAAATGGCAGAGTAATAGCGTTTGTGTCATTGTAGGCTATTAGGGAACTATTTATCCTTTCAGACTGTAACTCCCTGTGTAGCAATCTCAAGCAATATGAATCGTCTGCAAATTGGAAAATCTGACTCGTGGTGCCAAGGAAATATATGAGGAGATTATACTGTATGAAATTTAGCATAGTAAGAATTCCAAAATCCTCCTCTGAATTATTATTATTATTATTATTATGCACTCTGTTAATAATATATATGAAACTTTGGAGCCATTTGACTTTACTCTGAACAGGAAAACAGAAATAATAGTCTTTCAACGAGGTGCTTTGCAGCAGAAGACTTCACTGGTAGGTGGGAGTTCTATAGGTACCAATCTCTGCCAAAATACATACAAAGATTTTTATCCATATATTTTATTTGAGATTTTTAGATCGAAGCAGTCTAATAGAAAATGAGTGGCTGCTAGAAGAATCAGTTTGCAGGCAGCGCCAGGGTGCAACTGATTGAGGGAGACAGGATAAGGCTGAGGATAAAGATACTGGGGGGAGAAAAAAAAGCTTCCAATTAAATCCCTCCACTAGCTTGGAGATTTTATTTACTTTCCTTATACATGTGCTACTTCCTAGATGGCAAAGCTCCATAAAATACTTTGGGTTTAGTTTTGTCCTAGAGGAAGACGATACGTTCCATTCTGTTTGATATATACTGCTGTTCATGAATTTGCTTTTTCAGCTCTCTGAAGCTGTCTGGTAAGTTCAGCAGCAATGGCAACACACATAAGAAGTCAATTGAAAACTAATAGTGCATACACTGACTCGCTAGTTGTTTGTGATTATATCTGAAGTCTATATTGCAGTACTTTACAGAATCCAGAGGTTAAATCCTATTGCCTCTTATTAAACTTCTTAGGCAATAAGTTTTTATTCATTGTCAGTCTTGCATTTGTTTCTTAATGGAACTCGATTACTTCCTCTCTCATGAGAGAGAGCTGAATGCTTTGTCTTTAGGGAACCCCCTAGGTCAGCCTTTTTGCCTGAGAAATAAATTAAAAAAGCATAAATGAAAAAAGCTATGTCTCCCAAAATATCAAGTCTACTAAATCTGGAAGGAACGTGCTGGTATTGATATAAACTCTTCCTTTTTGTGTGATATGAAGATGCTTTTGGATGTTTGAGATATTATCAAAAGAGTAAGGAAGCTGCTGGTAATATAACTTTGGGAATACAGCTTTAAGAAAGCAGATTAAGAGATGTACAATGCAAAATATAAAGAGGAAGGCAACAAAGATCAGTAGAGTGGCCTTTTACGTAGGGTGACTAAATAGGTTTGGAGTCTTAATGCAGAAAGAAGCAGCAGTGCATATAATGGAACCTTCAAAATCAAGGTGGTGTGGCAGATGTTCTCTATGCAGAACTGTGACATCTAATTAAGTTAGTAGGAGCCAAACAAAAAACAGGGGGTTCTTCTTTATGAAGCGACTGGTGGATGCTACGTAGTCTTAAAGTTAACCTGGAAAACACTGAACAAGGTAATGAATGCATAGAAACCACATCTACTGTCCCTTTGCATAAAGTGATTAGAGCCTGAGGATGTGTTGAGACGTGTAATATGTGCTGTTGTCTTAGTCTTCCCTGGATACCCACCTAAGGTCAGTCTAGACTAGCTAGTTCCTTGGCTCACCTGGTAGGGTGCTTCAATGGTTTATTACTTCATGGGGATGAACACCTTGCTGGCTGTGCAGCCAGGTATCTATCTTTTCACAAGGTTCAAACTCTAACTAAATTAAAATAAATTGTACTTGTAATTCTATATACAGAAACATGATTTTCACTCTTTAGGACTGAATCTTTCCAGCTAAAAATAGCACCCAAATCAGAGTGTACTTCGTATCTGTTAACCAAAGGAATAATATTCACTAGAGTTTGGCAGCCTCTGATGCCATTTACACCTTATTGCCCACCTAAGCTTAATGCCATCATAGACACTGTCGGGTGTCAGAACAGATAACCTAGATGCATCTGTCATGAGACTAAATCTCTAACCTGTGGTGTTAGTTAATCATACAGTAGTACATTATTGAAAGCATTTCAGTTTCTAAAGATGCAAAATTCAACAGTGGGTTGATGTTGGATGCTAGGTTCTTTTGCACACTCCAGAAGACAATCTTCTTTGTTCAGCAGCTAGATTGAGGCATGCTTCACAACCTGAGAGTTTGGAAAATGTTTTTGATCCCTTGCTTCAGGAAGACAAAACTTTTGAATTTTAAATATAAATAAAAATTTTAATTAGGGAGTGCAGTATTAGAATAATGTGACTATTCTGTATGCGTTGAGAGAAATATTTTTTAAAATTTATATGGAGTTTTTACTTTCGTAAGTAAACCAATTCATGTACATGTATGAAATGACAAGGAGATGACTGATATCCATTTTAATAAATGCTGAACATTTGTAGTAAGTTCCTGGAACTACCTGGGCTGCTGCTAATGATCTGCTGTCTAGAAACTACAGACTTATTATAGCAGGAGTTATTCCATAAAAGTGATTCATGTAGCAGGATGCCATTTTGTAATTTTCTCCCATAGGTTTGGATTTCATCTCCAGGCTGTCCTGGCAGTATTTTACTTTTCCTGACAGATAGTTAATTTGAGAATCTCACAGCTGTACAAACAAATTTAAAGCATCAAGGCATGTGCAGTATGCACAGAGCCCCCATTTGCTTAGGCTTATTTTAGTAAGCCCGTTAATTATGATTTTAAAATAAACACGGAGAAATTGTGTTAATAGTTATCACCGTTTTAATAGGCTATGTATAACAGTCTGCCCACCAGCCTTGAAGTCATATATTTATGAATATTCTACTTAAAAGGATGTTTTCATGGCAAATGAATGAGAAGAGTTTGAAGTTGAATCATTCCTTTTTCTCTGAGTTCTCAGAGGTTAATCAGGCACATTTTGACTCAGATCTCTCCTAGAGATACTTTTGAATAACGAATCCACATC